TCAGTCAAAAATCCTATAATCAGCCACAAAGTTTCGAGAAAGTAATAGAATAATCTCCCGAAAACTGGGTTTTATAAATTTTACCGAAATACATACTTGTTAAAAGATGAATTAGGCTAAGATACTTTTAAATTAAAACACTGGCATAATAAATAATAGTCTTTGCGTTGCGATATTTTTTTTTATTATATATATTATATTTTTGTAATAGGACTTCTTTATTTAATACGATATGATTTTTTATGAATTCGATTTTTGTTAAAACTAAAGATCGGAGTTATGGGAATAATTAAAATGAGGAATAATAATAAACAGTTCAATGAAATTCACGCAGTAGATTCATGTTCATGAAAATCTAATACGATATCGGGTTCTTATGACAACTTGTTTTTAATACAATCTAAATAACTAATAACCTTTAATCATAACTGAGATAAGAGTTTTTTGTACATAAGTATTTTTAAATCTAACGGATATGTTTTAGTACCTACAAAGCATGAATTTATAACAGTTTATCTAGGTATGTCTAATGGTCCGTACGCACATACGGTATTACTCGATATTTACTCTAAAGTGAGTAAAAATCAATGCGTCGCGTCCTACGAACGAGCCGTCGATTTGTGATTTTTGCGGCCAACACGTTGAATTTTACTCGCCTTAGAGTAAAAGTATCGAGTAAAACTGTATGTGAGTATGGACCATAATACTGTGAAAAATGATTTCTAAAGTTTTATGAATATGGTAAAGTTTTATTAATATGGTTGGATTGTTCTTCAGCATGATTAATACTTTATAGTGGTCTGTCTTTACGGATACTTGAAAATAAGTAATCTTAAGTAATAAAGACGCTTCCCAAGCATTCAAAATTATAGTGTGATTGGAAGGAATTGAGGAGCTCGATGGTGCGGGTGGTAGCGCGTTCGGCTGCGATCGTTGACGTTAAGCAACTTTCGCAGTGGTCGGTCATTGGATGGGTGACCAAAAATCTTCTATCTTGAGTTCCTCCGTGCTTCGGAATGCACGTTAAGCTTGGTCCCGGCTGCATCTGCAGTCGTTAGCACCCGCCAACCTGCACTGGGCCAACGTGGTGGGTCATGGCCCAATCTAGCTATTCCATCCATAGGGAAGGCCTGTGCCCCAGCAGTGGGGACATTAATAGGCTGATGATGTGTGATTGGAAGCAAACATGTTAAATGTTTAGTTATTGGTAATAAACACCATAATATCTTGTTACATGTTCACGCCTAAACCTCCGAATTTTTATGCAAAATTTTGGTATTAGAGATAGAAAGGAGTTTGGAGACTATTTTGCCGTGGAAATAAAACTTGAAAGGGGTAAAATGAGGAATGAACTCTTATAAGGGAGATCGATCAAATCACCCGTTAGTTGTAATATATAAATATACCCTAAGACAAACTTAAGGGAAGTGAATGGCAGGATGCGTCAAGCCCAGCATCCTTTAACAAGATTACACGTGTGTGTACACATAAATAACGACCATTTTAGAATTACCGGGAAAAGATACAATTAGTAAAGCCGTTTTCTTTTTGATTGAACAATATAAACTAGTTTATTGCGTTCAGTTAGCCGTCTGATGTTTCTAGTGCTATTGATGACTAGCTGTGCCCCGCGGTGTTACCCGCGGTTTATTAGGGATATTTTCCCGCAGTAAAACGTAGCCTATGTGTTAATCACGGGTGTCAGCTAACTCATTTTTTTTATTAGTATGATTACTGATAAATAATAAATGTAACGCATTTTTTATTTTTTATTTGGCGACCTGACCTTATTTCCGTTCATGGCATTATCGCTGTTAATTTAGAGAAGTTACTAAAGATAATACCTAATTTTATAACTTTCCGGATTTTAGTATCTTCGTGTTGTATATGAACACAGAATGAAACTCTTAAATGAAGTCAAAGTTTTAAAAATTGAAGAAAATGTTGACAGCGCTTATTATATATATATTTATACTATGGTTACTTAAAATAAATACGTTTAAAAAATTTGAGCCTAAAACAATGATAATGATGATTAGTTTGTACACCGGGTTTCAAAGTGTCGCTAACTCGAGAGGTCCCCGGTTCGAATCCCGGTGGGGACAGATGTTTGTGTGATGAAGACGAGCATTTGTATTCCAGTCATGGATGTTTAATATGTTTTGCTATATAAACATACTTACATATGTATCAGTATATGTATTCTATCCGTTATCCTAGCATCCTATAACACAAGCCTACAGTACTTACTTTGGGGCTAGGCATTAGCCTAGCCTTATTACTCACACCTATTAAGGTGTGAGTGTTAAAAATATATAAATAGAAAATTGGTTTACCATGCGAATTTCTTTTCTCCTTCACCCCATCAAAGGATGATAGCTGGAATAAAAACTATCCTATATCCTTTCCCGAAACTCAAACTATATCTATAACATGTTTCATTTACATCGGTTCAGCGGTGTAAGCGTGAAAAGTCACATTAGCGATTATCGTACGATACTAAATGACAAGAAAATCTAATCGACCTGCTTTCTTTCGAGTATTTTTGTGTTCATCAGACAAAGAAATGCCTCTGCTAGGATTCGTATCCAGACTCTTTGCAGTAGAATATATGAAGTCATCGTGAAATATATGAAGTAAATATATTTTTATGAGTTGAAAAATATATATTTTTCATTATTACAATATAAAATAAAATAGGTCGACGCTTAGAAGATTTGTCGAAACGGGTCACATCACAACGCAGAGATGTTTTATGGCCCACTTTATACAATTCGTAGAATTTTTATAAGAAAAAAATTACGATTTTCACGATGATAACGAATTATAAGGGATTTAAATTTGGGCCACTGAACCAGAGCTGAGACGCTGTCAACATTTCGCTTTCTCGACATTAACAAATGTTTTAACAACGCGAAGAAATTCTTTCTCGGCGAATTCATTCTTTAATAAAGCTCTCATTTCCACTCGAAATAAATGTTTTGCTTCCCCGAAATTCGGATTTCTTTTTCATGTAAAAAAAACAAAACGAGATTAAATATTATTGGATCGTAAGTACTTACTATATTATCAAGGTCGTATCGTGTTTTGTTTTTTATTGAAAATACAATTAATATCGTAATATTGTTTTTATATTCACGATCCGCTGCACTTTTGACGCGTTAGAAAAAAGTTTGGTACCTACTGATACTTATTCCTGGTGCATACACGCACATTTTTTTTCATTATTATTGTCGATGTTTCTTTCTCTAAGTTTTATTTTTGATTTCTACAAACTTCACAGGACCGCTGCACTGTTTAAAAAAGGATCTATTTAAAAGAAAATTATATAATCCGTAAGTTCGTTTAATCAGACCATCACTTAACACAAACTCCGTACTGCTGCTTTTTTATTATATGTAAGACAAATAATAACACATTTTGCCTTATGGTTAGTAGTTATTATGGTTTATTGACGTCTGTAACACCAGGGATGGACCACTCACACCAATTAGTCTAGCCCCAGAGTAACCACTATAAGGCTTGTGTTATGGGATATTAGGGTAACAGATAGAATACATATATTGTACATATATAAGTATATTTACATAGAAATACATATTAAACATCCATGACTGGATTAAAATTCTTGCAAACATCTGCCCCCACCGGGATTCGAACCCGAAACCGAGTCGAGTTGGAGACACCATGAAACCCGGCGTACAAACCACTCGGCCACGGAGGTTGTCGCAATAAAGTATCAAGGAAAAAAGTTAAAAGAAAAAAATACTTAAAAATACGATTAATAAATTGAACAGTAAAATAAAAGTTAGGTAGATAGAATATCTAATAAATGTCGTGTGTGCCTTTTACATTGTTGATCGGAACGATAGAAATCTGATAAAAAAGTTTTATGTTCTTTAGTTAATCGACTAATAAGTATCTTGTGTATTTATGTTTGTTATTGTCTTCCTCATAGAGTCACGGTATTAACAACACGGTTGATATGATAGGTACCTATCGTTGAAATGTTAAATGATTGTAGTGAATATAAATTGCTAGTAGGAAAAGCAAATCAACGTGACGTAGTTATTGTGTGTTGTACTGTGTAACCGGAAGAAAACGGTTACCTCTTTATAAATATGGGCTTAGCTCATGCGCGCTTTATAGTGAATACAATCATACGTTTATTGATAGTGTTGGTTAAGAAGTAAATATATAAAACATTTTAAATGTAAAGATAATTTTGCTAGAAAGAATTTCACGCGGACCAGGCAGCAGACGGGACTCGAACCCGCACCCTTCTCTATCCGGGCGAATGCACTGACCCTTATGCTACTGCAGCCCTGATGGCCGTGTCGAATTCTCTCTAGCCTTTCTTAAGCCGCAAGGCAGCGCCATCTTTCCGCATTGTAGGTAGCAGTTACATGTTTATGCAAAAAAAAAAACATATTTATATGTTTTCTTTCAGTAGGAATTTAATTATGTAATTCTTATTTAGGGACAGTAATAGATATTTCTATATATATATTTTTTAATTTTATTCTTTGAAAGGGTTTAATTATTTTATTAATTAATGTATGAAGCAATGTTATATTAATCCATTTTTCATTTGTTTTTAGCTGGTGAATACTTTTTGGAACGTTTCACATAAGTACAAATATATTTTTGGGTTTTCCCGGGGACAATCTTAATTTACGCAATGAAATATAGTTTTTCACATGGTTGCGTTCGATGTTCGAGGTCACAAACTGGGAATTTTGATTGGGCCAACATCATAAGTCTACAAAAAATAAAAACTCCAGGATTTAACGCAAACTAGCCCATGCTTCGCATCATTATTAAATAGGTATATATTTAGGTTACTATTAAATTCTGTCATTCAAAATATAAAACTATAAAATTGGAAGCGATTTTTGGAACATTTGGGTAGGTAGTAAGTACCCTATATGATTCACCCGGTTTTTAGGTGCGGGTAGATGAAATTAAAAACAATTAATATTATGAAAACATGTACTTACATTTATTTACTGCTGTTTAAAAATGCTGCGTTTCAAAAGGATGTATCCACACCAGTCCAATATTTTTTGAACTCCCTGCACACGCTTAATATTGTGTAATAAAAGATGGTCACTACAGTTATTCTCACCACATATCTAATAGTATCGTGCATCACAATTTTTAACACTTCTCAGTTAAAATTACGATTTCGTTTATTCACGCTAAAAACGCGGCAAATCTTTAATCCGAACACACGTGCGTCTTCGTCAACGGCATCTGTCACACTGAGAATACAATAATAAAAGACCGTAACTCACAATGCGCGAGCGCAATGTCAATACAATCGTGCAAATTAAGCTTTTACTAACCGTTTTAATACTTTTAAACCTTATGTTGAACGTAACAAGGTTCAAAACGTGTGATACCAGCTCGATTTACTGTCGTAGTGAGTTTGAATGAGTCAGTCTTCTTTCCACAGCTGGCTTCGTCATTCATGCTTTACTAAAAAAATAGTTTCCATTTTAATACTTTGAAATAAAGTTGATATTTCAATGGCACACGAAATATACGGTAACCTGTATTGTTTTCAAAAGACTTTCTACCGTATCATCAGCGTGTACACTCTTAATTTGCTTGCATATGCTATGATATAGGAACTCGCATGGGGTTTTCTTATGGCAAAAATATGTTTGATGAGTCGTCGTGCATGAAGGATATTTAAAAATTAGTATATTAATTTAAACTTAAATGTACTTAAATAAATTAACTTATTTACACGATCGTCTATTTTTAGCTTACCAATTAGTACTGTAAAGTTTTTAATGTTTTCTACATAATTATACCTAGGTATGCTATATGCGAAATTAGCGTTAGTTAAAATACTGCATGAAGATAAATTACTTTCCATTTTTTATTATGTATGCAATAATTAAGTAAAGTTATGTTAGGTTATGAGGAAATTACAGTAAACGCTTTCCTTATTTCAAAATATTGTCATACAAATAAAACGAAGGCATGATTTCAAATTTAACTTTTTTTATTTGAAGCAGTTTTAGCTATAAAACATGAAATTCCTAATGCCATTCACGTTTTGAATGTCCTCCTAATTACTTTCTATGGTGATTCGCACCGTCGAATAGCCCTAATGGCCTGTGATATTCATTTAACATTACGTGTTTCTTACCTGTCTTGTGCGTGAGTGTGTAATTATAATTTTATTTCATTATAATGTTCATTCCCATTATGTATGCTTAACCAATAAAATATAGAGATACCTTTAACGTTATTTTATCAGGTTGATAGCTCTAGGACTTCCACTGATATGAACCCAAACCCCAAAATTATGGACTTTGTTCTTTTTTGCTTTTTGTCTGAGTTTTGGTCCTTTCTTGGCTTTCGGTTCTGCCCTCTTTTGCTCCTTCCGAGCCTTCTGCTTTTTCTTTTTCTTGTCCAGCAGGTTGCAGCATAGGCGCAGGTGCAGGCGCAGCCACAGGCTTTTTAGGCGTCTTCTGCCCGCGGCGGACAACCGTGCTCCATGTTGTCTCAGGCCGTTCTTCGTTCCGGTGGACGGCTGTCTTAGACGGCCTCGTCCGTTCCGAATCGAAATGAGATTTACGTGCTCAGAAGTTACTGCGATAACACTATGACAGTCCATGTTAAAGCCAGCGAATTACATAGATCAAACCAAAGTGACAAATGAAATTAAAAAATACATGTATTGTATATATTTTATGATAACCGTCGAAAGGTTAAATCATGAGGATTATTATTTCCTAAATAACATAGCATTTTAAACGAAAGAAAAATCACGAAATTTGATTTTTTTTAATATTTGTACAAAAACTACAGTATAAAAGAAACGGTGCTAGGGTTGTATAAGTATCGCTTTATTATTTTTTTCACATACTTATAGTAAGGAAATTCCTGTATTGTTAAGTGAGCAGGTACTAATTAGTAAATACTTTGAAATAATAACATTAGCTGTTGGAAGCAAAGTAAGAGAAAAATTTTCTTGAACAGAATTGTAATTACATGATCTTCCTTTCATTCGAAATACTATGTTACTTAGGAAAAACTAATCCTTATGATTAAACCATTTGATGGTAATCATAAAATACGTCGAGCTTTTTTTCTAACTTTCCCAAGTTTGATTCCCAGTTGTAGCAGGCAATTTAAAAAAAAATCTGTGAATGCAGTTCTAGTGATTACTAAAAATAAAATGTTGTCTTCTTTCAGTAAATTATCCTATCTTCAATATTTAATATACTTTCCCTGCTTGTTACAAACCCGTGGGACACCCTGTATATGCCATTGTGTGTCCCGACCTTAAGGGCGACAACATTATCGCGTTAGGTTGCCGAGTTGATGTGGACATTGCTTGGCCCAAAATGGGTTCAAAATGATCTAGAGTGTCTGTCAAAACCCTACTCGCTAATGTGCCGCCCTGCGTCACTTACATTACAAGGGATAATGCGACTGAGTGCTTGAAGTCTCCATTGAAAGAGCCGCTTCATCTTCCTAGTACATACTATTAAGTAATCTGTGCTACTACTCAGTTACGTGTGAATAATTTGCCATCTATACTAATAATATAAATGAAAAGGTTTGTATGTTTGATTCTTTGTTACTGGATCACGCACAGAATTTCTGAAAGGATAAGGATGAAATTTGGTACGCATATAGACCTGGATTGAGACTTTTTATTAAAAATAGTACCTAGCTATACATAACTTTTATTAATTAATAATATCAATGTGATGAAAGTTGACATCAACACATGTTTCCAATTTTTGATGTCATCTTTTAATTGACGACTCTGTATGAAACAAAACAGGGAGAAAAAAATAGCCCTTGCTGAGTTTCTTGCCGGTTCTTCTCAGTACAAGGTCTCCCGCCGTAGATTCACGAACCGATGGCGTAGCGTTTGACTTTCACAAGAGCTTGTAACAGCCTAGACTGAATAAATGAGTTTGAGTTGAGTTGAGTTATCCCGGATTTTTTTTTGTTTCCGAGGGATTTTCAATAATTTAATTTAAAACGAATGATGACGTAGTTAAGGCACGTGGCTGCTAGTATACATATAAAAAAGCTGCCGCCCGCGACATCGTAAGTGTTAATTTTTATTAACATCGTTTTGAAAATTCCACTGCAATGTAACTTTTTCCTCGATTAGAAGTATCCAATATCTCAATACAGGTAATAAATTGTATGCGTTTCAAAACGCATTTATTTATTTCATCAAAATGCGTTTATCCGTTTTAGTGTAACTCATTAACAAACATGCAAACTTTCACATTTATAATATTGATGACAATAATTATATTAACGGAATACCTATTTTTCATTGAATATAATCATATATTACATAAAATTACATTATAATAGATTATACTTATGTTAAATTTTAATCCGTTTGCGTACCTTCAATAAATGAATAAAAAAAACTTGAAATTATTAATAAATTTATATGAACATTAACTGACCACAACCCCCAAAGAATTAAAACCGCCTATAACATGTTTAAGGCAGGAAAGTAATTGGAATTCACAACACATTCTGTCTTTTAATACACGTTTGATTTTCTCATTTTGTGATAATTCTTGTCACAATTTAGGGCAAAACTAATTAACAATGCTGTCACGTATTTTCCGAATTTGGGCAAGCCAATTAGTGTTTATTTCATACGACACAATAAATACTTCTGCATTATTTAATGAGCCACATAATGGATGGGTTAGCTAAAATTTCTCTGTGTTGCGAATAATTAGCCGATAATTGTATGCCTGCCTATCCTTATTGGTTAAATAACTTTTTATGAATAAATATAACAATTATTGGCTATGTGGATTCATTATACTTACTTCTCTACAAGTAGGTACCTAAATTATTGTTTAAGTAAATTATTAGAAATTAAATATATTTTGACCTTTGAGAAATCAGAGAGTCTGCCGACAAACTGCGTTGCAGTTTGGCAGACATAATGTAATTTTGTATGTAGTTTTTTTTGCTGAATAAATTAAAATAAAAATAAAAAAAGAAATAAAATATATTTTGACCTTTGAGAAATGAAATGAAAATATTGAAATTGACTTATTAAAATCTTTTTTGAATCGTCCTATATTTTTCCTATCACTGATATAAATAAACTACCACTAAGATAAAATTGGGACGAGACTAGAAGTGAATATTTTATTAAAGTTGAAAAGGTGCTATATAATATGGTACTTTATTCAAATTGACTTATTAGTTCTTTTGAATCGTCCAAAATATCTATTTCGTTTTGAAAAGTATCGTGTAGCGTATTTGGGCTGGTCCGCAAAAATTATAGGATTAGGGTTATACATTTACTATAAAGTTGTTTCGCCACATATTTGTTTACTCCATACAGTGAGAGTTAATTTATCATATACAATTTACTTGAAAAAAATTGAATTGTGGCAAATTTACACATACTTTTTTCGGGTCAAAATTACTTTGTGACTAATGCACAGTACAACAACGCCATCTTATTTCATCCATTTATTTATAAATTTGTTATTTTATCATACAATTTCAAATCATAATTACCATTACTTAATTATTGTATACGGTTAACTTTGTTTCATTCATCATCTCTGGTTTGAAATACAACGATAAGTAGGTACCTAATTAATTAAGTTTAATAAATAATATGCTGAATTTTGTATAAATTGTGATGTCTGTCACTATTTATTTGAACTTGCAACCTGATCAGACAAATAAAAAACTTTCAGGGGGCGCGGGCGCCAACAACCACGTAACAACAATATCATAGAACTCTTGTAAAGTTATAATTGATAAACTTTATTTAGGTATCATTATGATACATTCGATTAAAGAGAAAAACAGTTTTAACTTGGAGAGTACCTATCTATTTGAGATAATGAACGTGCACTATGAAGGGAGTTTTTTAAAGCAAATATTGTATTATTTAAATCTATTAAAATTTGGTTTTAAGTTGAGTTTCAAATTTAAAGGATCATGCCACAAACAGTCTAAATGGTTCCATTTAAAGAAAAAAAACGGGAAAAATGCGTATTCTTATCACATTTTTGTCATTTTTATGTAAATTGAATTTATCACGAAAGCGGGGTATATTATTTATGTAGATAATTTTTTATACCTATTGGATTGAGTGACATTAAAAAATCACCAACAGTTGTTGCTAAAGGACATTGTTCTGCGTCCATACATTGTTAGCCTAAGAACCAACAATCATGAAATATTAATTTCTAGGTTCGAAATTGCAAGTAAATGACTAAAAAAACAAAGA